GATAGAGAGTAGTGAAAAGTTTTTTTAGTTATAAAGTTTGCGAATGGACCACACTTACCACGCAACAGGAGAGAATGAACCCGAACCGTCATCTGCGAGGAAAAGAAGACGCAACTTCACTTCTTGTGATGCACTCTCTGCGGCGCTTTTCCTCCTGATGATATATCTCCCCAACGATGGTAGCAGTAGCACCGAATCCCATTCTGTGCATTCAGCCTCTCTTCTCGCCCGCTTAGCATCAAACACATGGAGTTCCTCATCTGTATGCTCCGGCTCAAACAGGTATGGCTCTGGGTCTGTGTCCGCTACAAGAAACTCTTCAAAATCGCGTTCAAAGTCGTCCATTGCAGCTACTATAGTCCGGAGATATTGCTAGGCTAAATAAACAGCTGAGCTCTATTTACCGGCTACGCTGTCAGTCAGTGTGCAGGCTGGAGATTGGCGGAGCAGAGAGGGGAGGGGGGGTCCCCACTCAGTATTGTAAACGAGTATGTGTGTAAAGTTATGAAGTGTGTGTGTTACGCTAGAAGAGTCAGAGTTTGGGACGGAGTCTTTTACCCCCTGGAGTGTTACCGGAGTTTCTGGAGTGCTCAAATAAACTGGCCTTTTTCCCGAACGCTACTCTGGTCTCCTGCTCGTGAGGGATTCATTACAATATCGTAACATGGTTTAGATTTCTAAATAAACATTCACCTCGTCGCTAGATAGACCTACTCCTGAAAAACTCGTGCGCAAGGCTTTTTGACCCTACGAGGCCACCGTCATTTACCCGACGGGAGGGGTGAGCGAGTGAGCCCTGCAATCTAGAATTTGACCACTGATGTCACTGTTTTCAACCCATTTTACACACTGGCCCTTTAAGCTGTGCTTTGTGTTTGGTGCTAATGTTAGCATGCTAACAAGTGAAATTGTAAATATGGTTGACTAAACGTCAGTCAGTTAGCATTGTGAGCATGTTAGCATGCTGATATTAGCATTTGGCCCGAAGCAACATTTCACTTAAGTGCAGCTTCACAGATTTATTTTGTGACCCTCTGGGCCCTTTTGCATAATCTGCAACAATTTGCATAACAGAGTGCTTCACGGATCACGTTTTTGTGCAGGCCAACACAGAAGTTAGCGTCACCCCGGCTCCCTCATCAAAAAGCCTTTGGGGTTTTTCCATTGGATTTTGGATTATTGCTGAAAATAAAACATTTTCATGATCATTGAAGCCTTAATGTAATCACTAGAAGTAAAAAGCTAACGTTAGGATATAATGAACTGCACTATGATCACATGACTTAGTGTCACCACCACAACGAAGATGTAAAGCCATGTTCGGTGTAATGACGTTCAGTAGTCTCAGTTAGCCACTTATTAGCAACCTTTTATTGTAAGACACGTAAAGGCTTCAAAATTTACAAGTGGGTATTCACTGACGTATTTTAATTCATAGAAGAAAACGTGAAACTCTCATAAGCTTCTGTTAACCACAGACCTTATTTCAGGCATCTAACCAATTCAGATTTTAGGACTCATTCCTGGGCCACTCTGAGTTCTTTTGTTTTTTACTTGTTGTGAAGTATTTTCAGATTGCAGTGCTGATATTTATAGTTGGACAAAGACCTCAGTTCTTTTGACACCAGTTTATTTGCTGAACTCTAAGTGGTGCTTTTCTCCCCCCTCCATCACTGATTTACAGTACAGTGTTTTGGAAAGCAGCTCTGCAGTTCAAAGCAGGGATGAAGTAAAACAAGACGAAAGTTTCTGCAATTACTAATCCTCATCAGCCATGCAGAAAAAGGGAGTGGAAGCCCAGATGTTGAGGTGGAGGCCATATAAGTGCAGGAAAAGAGGGCAGTCAAAGGCTCCCTGGGACATTTCTGCGCTTGTAACGTATATATGTGTTGCCAGAGCAGAGTTCCTGTTAAGACCTGTTTACTGGAAGATGTGTGGCTGTGAGGTACATTAGCCTCTGAAGTCGACGCCGCTTCTTGTCAAAGGGAAATGGGTCAAGGTCCTAGTTTGTTTCATGTCACCGTGTCTCGGCCTCTTGTGCCGCTGGCCTGTGTCTTTTGTCACCTGGACTTACCGCCTCCACCAGTGAATGTCCCCCAGCTCTTAACAGGTCTCATGCAGTAATCCCTTTAATACCCTGCTACTTTTGATGAGCATTCTGAAAAGTTTCTCAAGGCCGTATGGATGTATTTCAAAGAGACAAAAGGAAACCGGAGCCAGTTGCCACCTCTCTCCGTTTGGCATACAGTTACACCTCATAACACATGGGCACATTCAGAGCGGAAAATAACTGCACCCTGTGGGAACAATAAAACACAACTAATCACTTACACTATAACATGGTCGTTATTGTGTTTGTAAGGTGTTTGTGCGAGCGAGCATGGGAATGAACAAGTGAGGAGAACACCTCAGGAGTGACCTCATCTCGCCTGTCACCCTGCTTCTGCCAACAAAACGTTCACTCTGTGCCCTCACTGCTCAGCCAAAAGGTGAAACTAGAGCAGAAACTGTTATTTTCTTGTAAAGAAAGTTATTGTTGATCACGTTTCAGAGTTGTTTTTGGAGCTTCTCCTGCCCATTTAGCAAATTTACAGATAGCCAACTGGAACCTGAGATGGACACACATATAAAACTGTCAAGATCTGTACCTGTTTAATAATGCCTCTGTTATTTGACCCAGCGAATCAGTGATGGGTGGAAATGTGAGTTACACAAGTACTTTCTTAAGACTGATTTGCTGTTTTAAACAAAAAGAAAAGGTCAGTGAGGAGAAATTGGCTTACTCCTTTGATTTAAAGCGCTGAATAAGCTCCCATTCAGCTACATTAAATCAGTCAACTTTAATACTCTTCTTTAAGCAGGAGCCAAGTACTGCAGTTCAACTTGAGTAACTGATTTTCAAAGGTTTGATCATAAATAGCCGCAGCAAAAGAAGGGTCACAAATATCTGCTGGCAGCCGGGCTTAAGAATGTCACCCATGCAAACACACACACATACACACACAGATGTGCAGGGTCGAGGAGGCTGGGGACACAGCAGGGTGCTGAGGATTAAAACAGATCAAAACAAAGTTAATAACTGCTAATGAGAGCCCGGGGCTCCCTGGGGACTCGGTCCCAGTGTACTTCTCATTCTTCTACCAAAGTCCAAACACTCCTCTCTGCTCAGTCTTTTGTTTCACTGTCTCACCCAATCTCCACTCACATGTAGGAGCTTTGCCTGTGCAGAAAAGCAAAACCTGAGCGTGTGACGCGGTGCTGCTTTGAAGTTTAAAGGTCCAGTGTGTGAGGTTAAGGGTGATTTAGTGGCATCTAGTGGTGAGGATTGCAGATTGCAACCAGCTGAAACTCCTCTCGGTTAGAATTCCTTCAGGAGGTTTTTATCAGGAGCTGAATTATCCGCAGAGGTCTCTTCCTTTCTAAAACAAACAGACCAGGTGATTTAAACCACAAAAGCACTGAATAAAGCAGCTTCATGTTAAAAAAATCTCTGTGTTTTTTATACACTGCTCGTCCTGGAAGCGCTGCTAACTATGGTGGCTGATACAAAAACACTAACAGTCCATTTTGGCCTACTACTGTAGAAACATGGCAATGCAACATGGCCGACCCGCTCACTATGTAGAAATAATAATAATTATTATATTTAATTTCTGCCAATATATCCCCCAAAATCCTACACACTGGACCTTCATTGTTCAACCTAGAAGTCTGCCACAAAATCTTACAGGTGTTTTCATTAACCTGAATGGGTCTTCTCTCTCTATCTAGTGCCCATCTACGTGCCATTCCTGATCGTGGGCTCTGTGTTTGTAGCTTTCATCCTGGTGGGCTCTGTGGTCGCCGTGTGCTGCTGCCGCTGCCTCCGGCCCAAACAGGAACTGTCATCAGGAGGTGCGTCAGGAGGAGGGGCCGGCAGTGGTCGCCTCTTGGAAACTATCCCCATGATGGCCAGCGTGGGCACCTCCAGAGGTTCATCGTCCCGCCAGTCCAGCACGGCCACCTCGTCCAGCTCCTCCGCCCCGCCCGCTGCACCCCGTCCTGCTCCCCCTCCCCTCATGCGGGCTCAGGCCTCCTGCTGCCTGCCCCCTGACGCCAGCGTCTTCGTCAACATGCCCACTAACTTCTCCGTACTCAACTGCCAGCAGGCCACGCAAATCATGCCTCATCAGGGACAGTTTCTGCACCCGCAGTACATCGGCTACGCTGCTCACCCTGTGTCCCAGGCAGCCTTCCTGGACCCCACTCAGGGAGGATACAGACCCCTCCAGTCCCCCTGCCCTCCTCCCACCGCTGGGTCCAGTGTCACCAGTGATCAGAAATTCCCTGCAGTGACTGTGTGATGAGGGCCCAGCCTGCAGACCACTCTGCCACTTTGTTGTGAAGTTTAACCTGTGAGGGCTGTACCAGAGACCTTTAGGGGACGCTGCCAGAGTGGAAAAAGAAAGGCAGGGAGTCAGGCTCACATGAAGGACTCATAAAGCTGTTGCTGGCTCAGGGCCTGCCCTGCTATTGTGTACGGTGTGTGTCTGTTTAGTGTGTCATATGATCTCTTGGCAAGTTGGAATGAGCTAAGCTCAGCCCGTGATGGATGCATAAACAATTTTCTGTCTTGATGCAAAGACAAAACTGCATATAGGAGGGTTATACAGCCCAGATGGGTGATCACGCACAGCCCACTGCAGCAGCAGCAGCAGCCTGCAGCTCAAATAAAGACTGTGCATGTGTTTGTGTTTGCATGTATGTGTATGTGAGAGTGAGAAAAAGATTTGTTGGCTTATGTGTGCTGGAGTGAGTGATGACTGGATGATTTATAGCAGTGGACTGAATGAAAAGTGGATATTCAAGCAAAAAAAAAAGTAATGACCACATGCTGTGTTTATGCCATGTGCACATCTGCACTTGTGAATAGTTGTGAGTGGTTTATACAGTAACATTTGTTTGTGTTGAGAGTGTGAGGAAAGAAAGCATGTGAAAAGATGTTTGTACTGTACATGTGTGAGTTAGTGTGAAGTGTGGAGGGATGTGGTCGTATGAGTAACTGTGAGTGAACTGTGTGTAATGGGAAATGCAGGTGGTGTAATGTGAAAGGCAGTCGCGATCTCCCCTTAGACCATTTAAACTCTAATGAAGTGAACACAGGACATAGACTGTGACGCTCCACCCTGCCATACAACCTCTCCTGCCACCCAAAAAGAAAACACACAGAAAAAAAACCCCCAAACTGCTCTGAGTGAGCGGAAACACATACAGACCCCAAAAAAATTTAAATATTCATGCAAGGCTGGCAGTTAATGTCCCAGAGAAGTGTGAGAGGCCGTTCTCTGAAGATTACAGAGTTAATTATACAGCAAAAACTGCCCCCCTTCACGTCTCTCCTGTGAGAGGTGTGTGTGTGCATGTGTGTGTGTATTTAACACTAACACAGTTCGGTGCGTTAGCTGAGGGCACTGGCAGCTCCAGGGCAGCTTTGACTCATTATTTCCCACTTAAAAACAGCAGAGAAGTGGCGGTTACTGCTCGTTAATGTAAAAAAAAAAAAGTCAACATTGCATTTTTTTCTGCGTACTGTCGTGCAGCTGGGTCACTGGTAACTCAGTAACATGCAACTTGAGGAATGTGCTGCTCCACTGAGCGTGCAGCCTGAGATGTCCCAGAGTACTGAAACTGGTATGTTTGTGTGTACCTCATCTGTGCTGCGAGCATAATGTCTGTAAGATGCAGTCGGCAGCTTGTGCCTGACAAGATAAGTAAAATGATGAATGAACATTGGTCCAATTTGATGCAGCAGTGACATTTTTCATATGAGTTCTAAGAAAATAAACTTTTAAACAGAAATCAGTGTGTTGACAGCTTTTGTGTTTCAGCTTCTACTGTCAGGATGAGTGAGATTTACACACACACACACACACTCAGAGACAAAGCCTGCTTAACAAACAACAAACCTGTGAGGTGAACGGGTTTTCACACAAAGAACTGTCTCACATCCCTAATCCCCTCGAAACACAAACACACTCACGGCAAAGCTATTAGAAACACTAATTACACACCTTTACAGACAGCTCTGCCACCCACAGTGGACAGACCGAGTACCCGTCACATCACAGAGCGGTGGAACAATAAACCACAACAATGGGAAGTTGTGGAGGTGTAGTTTTGGCAAGCTCCTCCAGAAACTACAGTAATGTGGAAAGCGGAGCGGGCCGCTGGGTTGGGGAGTCACTGGGGAGAAGTTGAAAAGCACAAATGGCTCTCTGGCTCCTGCTCGGCCGCGGCCCGATGGATTCTCCATACTGGAGCAGCTGTAGTCGGTTTGGGCTGGGCCACATCCAGGAAGGTGGGTGGGAAAGGGAGCTCCAGTTGGACTCCAGTGTCCAGAGGCTGGGGGGTGTATTAATCGTTTAATGGTCTGTCTACACTGGCTCTCATGAGCTTCAAGAGGGAGCGTGGGAGAGGTTTGAATCTGGTAATGTATGAAATCATCCACATCTCATGTACCAATAGAGCGTTTTTGATCCTTTTTAAACATACAGCATAAACCCAGCTCCTCCTACTGCCCTGTCAGAGCACCTACAGGTATCAACACTTAAATTTAATGCTTTTAAAACATTTAAGATAATTGCTTAACAAAATTTAAGACTGATTTTTGGACCTACCTTTTTTTATTCAAGCACTGTAGGTGAGTATAAAGGTATGGGTACAATTGATCAGTGTTGTAGTCAAGACCACCTAAACTGAGTCAGTCATGACCGAGACAAGACTAAGACTTTGAGGGTTGAGACCAAGTCAAGACCAGACCATTGCGAGTCCCACACGGCATGAAACACATAGGATAAAATGTGGAAAGCACAAACCCGAGGCACTCCTCAAATTGATCTCAAAGATCCACATTCCCGTGAAAACACCCAAGGAAAACAAAGACTCCTCTTCAGGCATCTCTTTGCATGCACACTGTGTATATATGTGTGTATGTATGAGTGTACCATGAGAAATGTCTAGATGTATATGTTGTGTGGGACTTTTCCTTTTTCTATGAGTAGACAAATATCAACAAATACTAAGGAGCTAAAATCAACCGAATCATCCTTATCTAACAGTCATTTTTCTGCACAGGCAATTTAGCGATATCCCCGCAGTTTCAGTCTTGACCAGTCTTGACATAAAATCCAGAGTCTTGTCTAACACCGAAACAGCCAAGTTAAAATGTGGAGACCAGTCCCCGGATTAAGACCTATCTTGAGTGCTGCAACACTGAGCGCATCCAATTCAAAGTCCTTCTCCTCACTTATTAAGCCCTCCATAACCAGGCCCCCTCCTACCTCACAGACCTGCTCCACCGCCACACTCCTTCCCGCAGCCTCCCAACTCCTGACACCACTCAGGACCAAGCACAGAACCTGGGGCGACAGATCCTTCTCCATAGCTGCCCCTCTTCTGGAACACTCTCTCCAAACACATTCGAGACTGCACTGACCTGTCCAAGTTCAAATCACTACTCAAGTGAACGGAATGGCTTTTAATGTGTGAATGATGTTGTGTGTATTTTATTGTGGTCTATTTTGTGGTCGTTTTTAACCAATGCAAAGCGTATTTGAGTACCATGGAAAGTGCTCTAGCATTATTATTATGTAGGAATGCTGTCATTAAAATGAGTTAGGTTAGGTACATTTTGCTAACAGGACATTGCGGGTATAAAGTAAAAGTACAGTAACATCAGAAATGTGGACTGTCACACAGAAGAGCTTAACTCACTGACAAAAATAAATGAATAAATAGGGATGGATGAATGAAATTAGATAAAATGTTTGTGGCAAATAAGACCTCACAGATTCAAATTTAAGACTAATGACTTTCAAGGCCTTATATTTATAAAATCATATTTTTAAGGATGTGCAGACACCCTGCCTGCAGCCACATTTTGACTCACAAAATTCACTTGATTACTCGAGTCGAGACAGCTTCAAGTCAAGAGACAGAGACATTTAGTCAGGCCATGGATTGATTAGATTTAATGATTAGGACTCGGATGGACAACCCCCCCTTCTCTCCCTCCCTTTTAGTCTTGCATTCCTGAACCAGAGTGTCCTCAACACAGAGCGCACACACACACACACACACACACACACAATGGACTCTACATTCAGACAAACCCCAGAGCCAGAAAAACACATGATCCAGGCGAGTGTCTCAATCAGATCCCTTCTGTTTGGATGCCTATTAGTGCTAGTTCAAGTAAAGTATTCCCTCTAAGACATGTCTCCACACATGAGTACAAAAACAGGCATTAATGAAAAGAGAAAAAAAAAATATAAACATACACATTAATGTCCACTTTAATAATAATAAAAAAAGAAACAGTCCAGTAAAGAATGGAAATCCAACAAAACTGAAGAAGGAAGCTTTAATGCCAGACTCGCTGCTTCCATGTCAGCTGATGATGCTTGACAGGCGGCGTCAGGAATCACAGGAGCAGTCAGAAACAACAGGAAACAAGGTGGAATTTTTTTAAAAACTGGCCAAGACATGATGTGCTAGAGGAGGGGAGACATGGAGGCTGCAGAGCGGCTAAGAGATGGAGAGATAAGAGGTACAAGGAGAGATAAGCAGGAGGACGTCCCAGTGGGGTAGGAGGGGTTGCAGCAGGGTGGTCCAGTTTGGCATGAGCGTTTTGCCTCAGTGGCATCTCTGTGGTGTTTGGCAGTGAGGCTTGGTGCTGCAATGGGACACGGGGGGGCTGTAGCTGGGGTTCAGGGCTGCAATGGTCCTCCCTCTTTGCTTCCCTCCCTCCCTCCGTCCCTTTATAAGGAATTCATCAGTGCATATGTGTGTGTTTATTTAGATGTCCCTTTCCCTCCCGCATCGGCATGTGATGACAGACAAGCTAAACCCACCTCACAACAGAGATGAGAGAGAACCGTGGAAGCGAACACACGCGGGCCGACACACATGCACACAAACACAGGAGCGCCAACGCGTGCAGACGTACATGCACAGGCAGATACAGACGCACGGGAATGCACACACATATACACACTCACGCACACACACACACACACACACACACACACACAGATAAACACACAGTGGCATGAAGCAAACCCAGTCTGTGGGGTATACAGATATGAGGAGCAGTCTCTGAGTTTGACTTGTCATGTCTGTGCGTGGATATGATTGCTCATGCCTGTGCAGCTTGAAGAATGTTTTTTCCCCATAAAGTCAGCCTGGTCCCTTCTCTCAAGTTAGTCCTCTTATGCACCAGCGATGGCCTCTACGCCTGACCGTGACCCCCGCCCTGGGCAAGGGGTCAGGTTATAGTTCCAGTAAGGCCACAGCAGGGGTCAGTCACCCGGCGTGAGGGTGTCACGTGAGTCTGTCTCCGCTGTCGCCTTGTTAACCGTTGCTACGGTGAGCCGAAGCCTTGGTCAGGGGTGGGGCTAGAGACTGGGGCGTTGGCGGGTGGTGTCGTAGGAGCGCACTACCTGGGATTGGGACACCACGCCGTGCTCCTCTTGAGAGAAGGCATAGCCATCTGCAGAGAGAGACAAGACGGAGGAACATTTTAACAAAACAAACAACTGTATGACTCCATATTTTGTTAATCACACGGGATGTTCGTGTGCAGACAAACCCTGCCTCAATAATAATTAAACTGAGTTTCACAAATGTGTTATTCATTACACGACTGTTATACTGGATTGCCTAACTGTGTACGAGGGTTTGTATTTTCCTGGTCACTCAATATTTGTCCGAATACTGGGAATCAGTTTGTTGTTTTTGGGTTACGTAAGATAGAAACATGAAATAGCATTGCTGTCCCTCTCCATTTACTCTCCACATGGTTTGCCAGATTTCCACCCTTAATAAACACATAAGCAAACAAACCAATCAGAAGCACTAAACAAATCGGACTCTGCAAATATATAGAAAATAGAAATCAACATGCTGTTTTCTTCTCCTTGTCTACATCTGTCATACTGGCCCACACATAAAAAGATCTTAACAGATGTTGAAAATGTGGGAGACTCCACACGAAAAAAGATGTAATAATAAATTTAAAAGTTTTCTTCTAATAGATTCTTTCATTGTTATTCTGTTGCTTTGGCAACAGCTTTTGTTCCTGTTCACTTCCTGTCGGCATCTGCATTAACAAACATCCCAAAACGAAATACAAAGGGGGCCATTTAGAAAATTTATGTGGTCAAGTTTTAGAATGTCTATCGTGTGTGGAGAGCAACGATTTGGACAAAACAGCACCCCACACACTGAACGATAAACTAAACAGAAACAAACAGTCCCAACTCACAAAACTGGAAATCTTGCAAATCTCTCATGATCAAATGTGACTTTAGAGTAAACAAATGTGGTGGATGGTGTGCAGGAAAAACTAGCTGTTGCTTTTTCACTTCTTTTTACAAAAAATTCACAAAGAACTAGAAATACCACCTTGCAAACCTGTCAAGTTGCAGTTACAGTTTAGGTCTCTGTCAGTGAAAACATGGATGCTTCACACACATCTTCCCCCCAGCAGCACAGAAGATCTATACGATCAGCGCAGTTTCAAGATGAACACCCAGGATTAGTGTTACCAATTCAATGTCTGTGTACTGTTACTTATATGACATTCAGTAATGGCCAGAATAGTGTTTCTGCAGAGCATTACATCACAATGAAGGTAACCTTTGACATTTTGTATATAAAATGTCATCACTTCATCATTTTTATCTTATTAGACATTTGTGTGAAATCTGTCATAATTAGTGTATACATTCTTGAGTTATGGCCAAAAACATATTTTGTGAAGTCACAATGACTTTGATCTTTAACCTACTATCAAATTT